AAATAAATAGAAACTTTAATGTAGTTCCAGAAGTACTGTTAGCGCCATTTGTCACATCATGATTTATTTCTAAATTTGAAGAAATTTTTAGTAATTGTTTACATTTCTATATTAGTTTGTTATAATATGCTATTTATTAAACTTATTTCTGTAGAAGCTCTACTGAATAGGAGAGCATCTATTTTAAATATACACCAACAGTACAGCATTATATAGTATAGCTGTACATGAAAATAATGCCAGTTTTAGTATCCTCAAGTAATGAACTACATAGACTATTCCAAGAATTTAGTTTTGTTCAAGCAAACAGGGAATGGTTGATTATAAGTTACCTTCTATATTAAGTATGTTGGATATTTTGCAAATAACTATCTGTATTGAATTTTGACTCCCCCTCTTTCTCTGTCTTAAATAGGTGCCCTTTAAAGCGACAGAATTATGATTATGCAATGTATCTGCTAACGGTTTTATACCATGAATCTTGGGTAAGTGATTGTATGTGAGTGGCAAGTTGAGTGTTTTATGAGCTATCACATACAAACTAAGCATATCTGATAATGCGAAAATTCCTTCTTTCTGCTGACATTGATCTTGAGATAGACAAATGATTAAAATAACTTTAAAATTCAGAGCTTGGAATTTGAAGTGCGTAATTCTATTTTGAACTTTGCTATTTAGTTTTTGTTTGGTTGGGAAGTTGTCAAAGTTATGGAAGAGTAATCATCTCTACGTAACTTGAGAATTTAGAATTTACCTTGTTACCTAAAAAAACTACAGAACAAACTCAAGAAACTTGGTACAAAGGTATTTTATTTATTTTTAAAATTTTAATAAATCATTTTATAGGGATCTTACAGCTCTTATAACAATCCATACATCCATTGTGTCAAGCACATTCTTTTTTCTACTTGAGCCCTTGGTGTCACCTCTTGATTTTTCGCTCCCTCCCCCAGGCACAAAAGTATTTTAAATGTTAGCTAACACCTGGACTTTGGTGACCAGGAGCCCTGGTAGCATATAGCTTACTGGTTGGGCTGCAGACTGCAAGGTCAGCAGTTTGAAACCACCAGCTGCTCTGTGGGATAAAGACAGGGTTTTCTACTCCATTAAAGATTTACAGTCTCAGAAACCCACAGAGGCAGTTCTACCCTGTTCTACAAGGTCACTCTGAGTCCAAATACACTCTGTGGCAGGGAACTTGGTTTTTTTTGGTTTTGTTTTTTTTAGCTTTTGGTATTTTTTACTTATTAGGGACAATGCATTTGTTTAAATCAGGGGTAGGGAACCTTTTTACTGTCAAGGGCCTTTTGAATATTTATAATATCATTCACAGTCCACACTGGTCAAACATTTAATTAATACACTCCTCATGTGATGGCTGGAACTGCTTGTCTAAGGCCAGACATTCCCCACCCCTGGTTTAAATAGTATTAAAATTGTATATGTCTGATATATTTATATTTTCAAAGAATAGTTATAAGTGCTTTAGCTATGCTTGAGCATCAATTCGTCCTA